GCTGCGCCTAAGGGGAGAGGAGCTCGGTGTGGGCAGGCCACCCTGCTGCCTGGCTGTCCCTTGGGAAGGGTCTCCCCTGCGGGATGTGCCAATGCCAGTCCCTGCACCAACTCTGCTGGGTTGCAGGGCACGGCAGCGGCCTCTCCTTCACCCGCAAAAGGATGTGGAGCAGGGGGAGCTAAGCCCAGACTCCTGGAGGTTGTGTGGCCACTGTGGCTGGGGGGGGCCACACGGGGCACAGGCCCCTGGGCATCTGGGCTCAGGTGTTCTCCAGTCCCATCTCATCTTTCCCAGCAGGGAGGGGGCCGAGGGAGCGACACTGAGAATCTGAGTCAGAAGAAACCAGAGAAGGTACGGGCATCCAGGGTGCTGGGCCAGTTCCAGGGATGATCCCAGACCCAGCCCTTCCCGACAGGTTTGGGAGCAAGGGAACCCACACAAGACACATGTGGAGGACCTGGGCCAGGATTACCCCCTTCTCCCACAGTCCCTCTTCTCACCTCCAAAAAACAAGGCCTGGATGCTACTTCCTTTCACCTCAACTCCTGGACCAAGCCGCAGAGGCCACCCTGCACCTTTCCCAATCTCACAGCCCCACTCCAAGAGTTCCAATGCTTTTCCCCTTTCCTTTCCTGGATCCACCTCAGACAACACCACACACCAGCTAAGGAGTGGCTCGGGGACAGCCCCAGGCTGAGGCAATGCTGTGAAGAGCTCTCCTGCCCACCGAGCTCCCTGTCCCACCTGAGAGAGGTGCTGGGAGCAAAGAGGAACCCGAGCCAGCTCAGCAGCTGGGAAAATGATCTGCAGGGCTGGGGCCCCCAGGCCTCCATGCAGACAGCACTTATCAATATTGAGTAGTGAGGCTGCCCCGGGGTCCTACCAAGGCACGTTCTGAGCCTGGGCCGAACACTCGTCTCGGCACAGTGCCAGGTGACAGTGCCACACTGCAGAGCCTGTCCAGCAGCAACTGGCTCCCTGTGCTGCATGCCCACTGCACACTCTCGAGAAGAGGCAGGGAGGGCAAAGGCAGGAGATGCAACATCCAGATGGGCTGTCCAAAGGAGACAGGGGCTCCCCTCTGCCCTGCCAGATGAGCGTGTGGCTGACCCCAAGGCTGGGAGCAGCTCGACACAAGGACACCAGACCCACCAGCCCACCACAGGTCACAGGCAACCTTGGTTTCCTGCACCTTGGTAAGGGAGAGATGGGCTATGCAAACCCCAATGTTGTCCCCTTCTCCATGTTTCCCCTTGACTCTGCCAAGAGCTTTCCTCTGAAACGCATTATGTGTGAAGTGGAGCAGCAACTTCCTGCTGTGCAGACTTTGGGTGGCATCTGTCCCCATACTGTCAGCACAGTAAGAGACAAAACACTGCAGCCAGCACCAGATCTTGGGGTCTGCCCTCCTCTCAAACCACAGAGCACCTCCCTGCCCCTCTGAGAGGTTTCCTTGCCTACATCAGCTGGCAGCTCCTGAGCAGGGAGCCCAGAGGGGAGGCAGCCAGCCTGCCCCAAGGCAGGATCCTCTTCTGTCCCCAGGCACCTGCCTGCAGACAGGGACAGCCAGAGATGGGGCTCCAGCAGAGCCATGCACCAGTGGGTCACTGAGCCCACGGGGCTGGGACAGCAGCCACGAGCACAGCAAAGACCACAGGCAACATCACAGCACGAGGGAACCTTAGATTTGGCTCTGCCCCAGGCATAGCCAGGGCCCTGCTCCAGGCATAGCCAGGGCCCTGCTCCTGCCAGCTCCAGCCCAGCCCTGTGGCACCCTCCAGTGGCACCCAGCTCCCCCAGTTCAGCGGCACCAAGACACTCCCTGGCACCCCGCCCGATCATGCAAAGGTGGCTCATACCAACAGCAAAAAGCCCGCAGCTCCATCACATCCGTAACACCCGGGATCCCCAGTCTCACAGCAACCCCAGCATCTCC